CACAAGAGAGAGAGACAGAGAGAAGAGAGTGCACTTGCCTTTTTCTTGTGTGTCTTGGCGATTGTCACTGCTTCTTGCATGCACTGCAATGCAGCAAGGCTCACTTTTGCAGGCTGCATGGGACATGCATGGCCATATAAAGCAGTCGAGGCTTTTAGAACTTTTCTTCTCCGAACCTCAAAAACATGCTACTGGTAGCATAGCAGTCTAGCAGTCATGTCGGCCTTTCGTTTTGTGGTGCTCGGCATGCCGGAGGCCTGCACCCTTATTATAAGTTCCAGTTTCCGAAATCATGTTTGCACGTGCTGCTCTGCAGATCTTCGAGCGGGAGTACATCAGCATGCTGCAAGTGGAGAGCTTCCTCTTCAAGAAGTCGAAGAAGTGGAGGTGGCTCCTGGGTCCTCCCGACGGGCCCTTTGCCCGGTTGAGGTGGACCAAGGAAGGTCGGCTGCATGTGCTCAGCTTGCCTGCTCCGAAGTGGGATCGCTTTCTTTTCGTCTAGGCTGGCACATCGACTCCTTGGTGCCCATGGAGGAAAGCCTGAGCCTTTGGTTCAACGGTGCGGCAGACTCCATGGAGCCTCCCACCAAAGGCCTTCACAAAGCATGTATAAACCCCAAACACCATGTTGCAATCTTTTACCTCGGATCAGGATGGAAGTTCTGGTGCAAGGGCAACTACAAGAAGAGCTGCATTTCCTTTGAGGACACTGTTGTGTTGTATGACTGAACTATATCACATGTAGTGTTGTCTTGTACAGGAGGTCAAAGACAGCAAGAAGATCCACATGGTCGAGGCACTCGATGTTTATAATGGTTGTTCCTGTGACCCGATCTGGTGCATGTGCAGGCCACCAAGCCCAATGAGCCGGAGCACCCCCCTTCCTGGGCAAGGGCCCCTGCACTGCTGGTTCCATTGATGGCCTTTCCCATGACAGTTCTCGCTCTATAGGTCGCCGGCCAAGATGAGCAAATGGAGGCTGGAGTGTCCAGCCACAAGATGAGGGTTTAGGGGTTTTCGGGTTATAGGGTTTAGGGT